GTCTGAGCATCTCGCGGGGAGCAGTGCCAGCCGCAGAGGGTCCTGGCCGGGCCCTGCTCTTCTGTGCGCACCCTACACCATCTGGGGGCCACGCCGAGACGGGAGCTTGGGGAGCAACTGGCTCGGTCCTTCCCGCTGAAGTGATCATAATAGCCCTGGAACAGCTTCCTCACGAGGGAGGAACGGTACTCCCCTCTTCCTGCCCGAGGGTACTACCCTCCTCACCCTCGGGGCCCTGTGGTTGCTCTGGCTCCAGTCTGAGCACCGCCAGCTTCCTCCGAGTCTGACAGCTCACCCTGACCCACATGACACTGGGACGGTGAGGGGCCCACGCCAGGCCTCCGGTTGCCTCTGGGTCCTAGGGGCTTTGTGTCCATCTCCCACCCGCTCCACTCCCCACTCACAGCTGGGAAGCCTGGAGGACAGTCGAGCATCTGCTCCCTGGCCCTGAGAGGTTTCGCTGGCTGCAGGACTCTGGTCACCCCGGCGGGCTCCTCTGCCTGCCACGTCAGGCTCGTGCCTCGCTCGGAAGGTGCCTACACACGTGCTGCCCGGGTGTCTGGTTCTCAGTCAGCATCTCCTGCTGTCTGAGGCCGACGGCCACCACATGCCATGTCTATACGTGTTCCCAGGGACACATTCTCTGCGTCCTCTCCTTGCTGTGGGCACATGGGCCAAGTGCGTGACATGGCTTTCGGGCCTTGTCACCTAATGTTGCATTTTAATACCATCCGCCAGGATAGGCCTTGGGGTCACGGTCCGGCCCTGGGGTGTGTGTGGGCATGGCTATTCAGTTTGCGGTTGGAAGCCTCTGCTAGCTCCCAGAATCAAGTGCAGGCATTACGGAGGTGCATAGGTGGGGAGTGGGACAGCGTGGAGGGGAGTGGAACAGCGTGAGTGCAACGGCGTGGAGGGGAGTGGATTGACGTGGAGGAGAGTGGATCGGCGTGGGTGGGGAGTGGATCGGCGTGGATGGGAGTGGAACGGCGTGGGTGGGGAGTGGATAGGCATGGAAGGGAGTGGAACGGAGTGGATGGGGAGTGGATCGGCGTGGAGGGGAGGGGATCGGCGTGGGTGGGAGTGGAACAGCATGATTGACTGCACAGCTCTTTGGGTGGAGCAGTGGTGCAGCTCAGGGGTAGGAAAGTGAGTGGTTTGAAGACAGCCGGGGTTTCTGTCTCCCAGCCCCCGTGCCCCACCCCCACCTGCTACAAACTCATTTCCTCTTCACCCCAAGTATGGTCGAAATCTTCTCGACGGCAAAGGCTCGGCACCGGGCCCTTCCTGAGGAGCAGGCTGGTGCATGTTCCAACCCTGCGCGCGGCGATCTGGGGCACTCCTCAGGCTAACCTAGAAGGATGAATAAATGGGGGTAACCGAGGAATTGCCGAAAGGAAGCCTCAGGGGAGGGGACAGAGACAGAGCCACCATGGCCCTGCCAACCCCATTTAAACTAGGATGTGACCAGCAGACAGTGTAATGGTTACGTTGCTGGACTCCCACGAAGCCAGCCATGGTTCGAGTCCCGGACCCACCGCCGGTGCGTGTCCGTGCGGCGGAATGAAGGGATTGGGTGTGGCCACCCCCCTCGCTTTCTGTCTCTGGCAAGCGCACGTGCTCTACAGGAAGAATCTCTCTTAAAAACAAAACAAAAACAAGATCATGCCTGAGGCAGAAACACCGTGTGCCGGACTGCAGCCTGTGGCGAAGGCGGCGCTCCAGGGCCACTGGTGCTGTGGCAGTCCCACATGCCAGCAGGAAAGCGGGGAACGGGGCGAGCACGCACAGCACCTGCCACGTCGCGGGGATCGAGGAGGTGGGGTTGTTGTAGGTTTTCGTCATAGAGCGTGTGCACTCACCAGAGGGGAGAAGAGCGAGGAACCCGCGGGACGGTGACAGTGTTGCAGTCCCTTCTCCTCTCAGGAGTGTGGGCACACTGTGGTTTGTAAGCCGCCAGGTCTGGGTCTTGAACCGCAGTCACCTATGTGGGGGTCCAGCCCTTCACCAACCACCACGACGCCTGCTGGTCGGAAGCAGAGATGTAAGCGCCTTCTCAGAGCGTGAAGCTCTAGGCAGAAAGTCAGAGAGTCGCTGGGCAGCGGGAGCCGGGGAGGGCACAGAGGCGCGCGTCAGCCCCGCCGGGCAGCAGACGCGCCAGCGCACGCCGAGTCCGACGGGAGGGGCTTGGTCAGTCAGGCGGTGCCCACCGCTCACACAGCACACACCTGCCAGACGGACGTGAGGGCGTGCACCCACTGGTGTGAAGTGAGGGGTCCAACCAGGTCACGGAGTCGGGTACACGCTGAGCCCGCACACTCACCAGCTCGGCAGGACTGTCTCGACGTGGAGGCTCCTGGTTTAAAACCCTCTCTCTTGCTGGCGCAGCGATCGTTACAGACACGGGTTGAACCCTCCATTCCGTGAGCGTACGCGTAGTGCGAGTGCGGCCCGCGCCCCCGCCGGCCCGTAGCCTGTGTCTGCTGGCCGCGCCCGACACGCACTCAGCGCAAGCCTGTTTGTGCAGCTGCACGCGCCTGCGCCGTCACGGGGTGCGGGGTCCCTGGCTTCCTTCAGACTGCCTCCCTGGCACCCCCACCCCGCCCTCCTCTGGGCTCTGTAGCCCTTGGGTCTTTCTATTATTATTTATTTGTTGGAGAGATTTTGCCATAACACGCATGCACTCACTGGAGAGACCGAGAGAGATGGAGAGACAGAAAGTGGGCACTCACCCCTGGGGGATGGCTGTGCTACAATCCGTCCTCCACTCTCCTTGCAGGATTTTGCGCACACACACACGCACCTGGCATGAGTTTTAAGTCACCAGGTCCAGGACTCAAACCACAGTCAACTATGTGAGAGTCAAGCAACGTAACCATTAGTCCGTCTGCCACCTGCTGGTTCCCCTCAATGTTTTAGAGGCTGCTGCGGGAAGCTCCCTGGGGCCTGCGGAGTGCAGGACTGGGCGGAGTGCTGCAGGAGATGCAGCCATGGCCCCAGATCGGTCTGTCCTGCCAGACACCCCGAAGCCTGCAACTGGCCATCTTTTTTTCTTTTGTAGACGTTTTTGCTATGGGACCAGCAGATGGCGTAATGGCTGTCACTGGACTCCCACGTAGTCGACCGCGATTTGAATCCTGGACCCCACGGCTTAAACTCACACCGGGCGCATGTGCGTGCATGCCCAAGATCCCAACAGGAGAATGGAGGAGAAGGGATTGCAGCGTGGCCATCCCCCCGGGGGGTGATTTCTCGCTTTCTGTCTCTGTCTCTGTCTTTCTGGCAAGCACAAACACCCTCTAGCCAAAACCTCTCCAAAAACAAGTTTTTGCTATAGGGCACACATGTTCTCCAGAGAGAGACAGGGAGGGAGAAGGTGGAAAATCACCTTCGGGGGTGGGGGTGGCCACACGCAGTTCTCGTCCCCGTTCTGCTGGGGTTCTGGGATACACGCATGTACGCATTGTGCCCAGCGTGATCCCTCAAGTTGCTGGGTCCGGGGCTGGAACTGCGGTCGGCCGTGCGGGAGTCCAGCACCTTAGCCACCACACCACCTGCTTGACGCTGGCCATCGGTTTTGTCGTTGGTTCTGCATTTCTCAGAAACCCCCACGTCTGAGGGCCCAGGTGTTGATTCTTCCTGCAGCTGAGGTCTCTCAGCGACACTCTGCGAGTCCTGCTCGGGGACACTGAGGCGTTACCAGCCCCCACACCGTGGTGACGTGGACCACACCTTCACTGGCCCGTCTCCTCGCTGACCCTTCAAGGGCTTCTCATCTTTTGTAAAATGCCTGCTTTCTTTTTTTCTAAATAAAGAGAAAAGGCTCTTTATTTATAGTCGAGTGTACACGCACCCATGACGGGGCGGGGAACACCCTCCCCAGGGTCTGGCCATGCTGTGGTCCCTCACTCCACCCTGAGGATGCTGGGCACTTACACACGTGCCTGGCGTGTTCCAGGCTCACGGGACTGGGGATCTGAACCAGGGCCGCCCTGTGGGGCCCAGCTTCTCCAGAGCAGTATGTCACTCTTGGGCCACGAGCCAGCCCCTTTTGTTAATGATAGCAAGCTTGTGCGTGCGTGCGTATTTGTGCACGTGAGAGAAGTGCTCTCCACAGGACCTCGCCACACCACGGCCCTCACCCAGCTCTCTGGCCCGTCTCCAGGCCAACCGTGGGCCCACACCTGGAGCCGGCCATGTGGCCTCCACCCCACAGACAGCTCCGCAGGGTAGGCTGCAGAGTGCGTCCCTGTCACTGGCTGAGGTCATTTTCTCACAAACTTCCCACGTCCCCTGAGGGTCCCAGGCCGAGGCAGCCCCAGCCTCTCTCTCACTGTGGACCGAGTACTCCTGGCTGCTGCCCGTCACTCCCACAGCAACGGCACCCTGGGCTAAGTGGCGGTCGAAGCACAAGTTAAAAAGAAGCAGGTTCTGGGGCCGGGATTAAATCAATCATTTTTTTAAAAAATGGAAGGAAAGAAAGCAGATTGTACCACTTCTAGAGGCTTGGTACTAGGAGGAGGGAGTCCACTCTGGCAGGCAGACCCTGCTGGGTAATTGTGGGAGTCAGTAGGAAGTGGGGCCATAGGACTCTGCTCAAAAAGTATGAAACATTTCAAGACGGTGACAACAGGACATTATGCCAAGCTGAGCCCTTACAAACAGGCCCTATGTGACAGCCTGGGTGGCCACATGGTGCATGTTAGGCCCTTTCACACTAAATGACATCTGGGCCAGAGGAGCGTGTGCGAGAGTGCATGGTCGCAGCCAGTGAGGCTTCGGGGCCCTCGGTCTCAGCGCATTCTCACGCTGGCCTAGGTCAAGGTCTACTCGCAGAGGGTGGCAGGCTCCGGGCAGCGCTGGGCGTCTGGGGCTGGGACAGGGAGACCCCCGTGCCGGGCCCTGCACTGGCCAGCTGATGGCCCCTGGGAATGTGGGGCCGCGGCCCGTCCCCGGGACTGTGGTCGCGGCCCCAGCGTGTGCTCATCCTCTTCTGCGTGCAGAAGTTCATCGAGTTTGAAGACGCGCTGGAGCAGGAGAAGAAGGAGCTGCAGGTGCAGGTGGAGCACTACGAGTTCCAGACGCGTCAGCTCGAGCTGAAGGCCAAAAACTACGCAGACCAGAGTGAGTAGCTGGTGGGCGGGGCGTACACGTGGGCACAGGTGTGCGTCCTGAGGCGGACTCCGGGGAGGAGTGCTGAGAGCGGTTGGTCTTGATCAAAAGAGCTTCAAGAAACCCAGCGCGGGCCAGAGTGCATTCATCGGCCACGTGCCCCTCGGCCACGTGCCCCGCCCCGGCCCCCCCGCCCCCGTGCCCCGCCTGTCTCTGTAGGACGCTCAAAGCCTTTCTGGAAGTAAGTGAAAGAAGTAAGGGCCCTTTGGTCATGCCGTGCTTCAGCTCGGAACTGCAGTCGGCCAGAGGCTGGGCCCCCCCTCAGACCCACGCCCTGCCACAGCCGGAGGTGCCACTCTTCTGGTGAGAGGTCGAGCACCGACCAAGGCCCCGGCAGCGAGCACCCAGGAGGGGCTCGCGGCTGGCGAGTGGTGCCTGCTCTGTCTCGGTCGGCAAGGTGGAGGAAGGAGCGTTTGCTGCTAGTCTGAAGATGGCAGTTTGGGGCTCGGGGGCCTCAGCCCGGCTCCCCTCTCAGGGTCCTACTTACCGGCATGACTTTCCGAGGACCGAAACCCATTTGGCTATTTTATTTTCAATGGCAGGGCCTTCATTTTTTCCTGAAAAGTTAGGATCGCATTGAGGGAGAAATCAGTTTGCCATGTCGGACTTAGGCCTACCCCAACCCAAGGCATGCTGGCCACTGGGAGTCTGCGGCCAGGAGGTGGCCAGGGCGGGCAGCTCAACCAGAGCCGCGCTGGTGTCTGCGGCTGGATGCAGGCCTCGGGCCCCTCGGTGTGCGTAGACAGACACCCCGTAACTGTCAGTCCGTGACGTGCCAGTGTCCTATGTGAAACCTTTGCACCCCTTTTTTTTTAGAAAGAAAAATTTCTAAACTCAGATTTCAGACTGGAGCGGTCCTTGTGGTCAGTACCTCGAGCAGGCTTGGGGCAGCAGGCCCACCCCAGTGGGAGGTCAAAGGCTCGTGAGCTCCAGCCCTCCCAAGGACAAGCAGAGGCAGGTCAGACCCCTCAGCATGGGTATTTTCTCCTCCTCCTCCAGGCAGCCACTTAGCTGTCTGCCATGTGCGGTGTCGAGCCACACGTGTATGCACAGTGTCCGAGCCTCCGAGCTGCGTATGCCACTCACGGTGCCCGAGCTGCGTGTGCCAGGCAGGCGTGGAGTCTGAGCTCCATGTCCTTTGCTGGTGTCTGTGCTGCGTGTGCCGTGCTCCATGTCCAAACTGTGTGTGCTGCACACGGTGCCCAAGCATCAGAGTTGCGTGTGTGGGCAGGGTCTGAGCATCCGAATGGCTTGTGTACGCCAGGCACGGCATCCAAACGTCGGAGTTGCATGTGCCGTGTGTGGTGTCCGAGCATCTGAGCTGAAAGTACCGTGTTCTATGTCCAAGTGTCCACACTGTGTGTGCCGTGTCCAAGTGTCCGAGCTGCGTGTGCCATGTGTGGTGTCTGAGCATCCAAGCTGAAGGTACAATGTTCCGTGTCCAAGCGTCCACACTGTGTCCAAGCTGTATGTGCCGTGTGTGGTGTCTGAGCATCCGAGCTGAAGGTACTGTGTTCTGTGTCCAAGCGTCCGAGCTGCGTATAGCATATGCAGTGTTCTTTTTTTTTTTTTTTTTTAGGATTTTTTACTTCTTATTTTTAATTTGACCAGAGAGAGACACTGGGATGGGGGAGGGGAAAGCAAGCCACCAGGTCCAGGACTCAAACTGGTCAGCCATGTGGGAGTCCAGCGCCTTAACCACCACGCCACCCGCCAGCCCCCCGTGTGCAGTGTTCGAGGTGCCTTGTCGGCATCTGCCTTGGACTTAGGTCGATCTAAGAGGAAGCAGAAGGAAAGAGACAGAGTGCAGTGGACACGGGCAGCCTGAGCCTAGGCAGCCAGACACACTGGGCGCATTTACTTACAGGGCAGAGCGACACTGCACACCGTATTTCAGACGCTCCGTTGATAGGTTGGCGTGTTACAATGGGAAGCGGGTAACAGATCTGTAAGGGCTTAGACATACTGGGCCAGGTGTATCCCTTGGCGATTTTCATATCAAGGAGAAATCCCTCTAAACTTCTTATCTATGGAGAGAAGCCTGCAGGTGTCCATGATGCTTTCTTAAAACCTCACGGGTGGTGGTAAGGCCGAAGCAACTCACAGCGGCGGACTTTGCTCGTTGGGGTCAAGATGTTTCCTGAATTCCATCAGAGGTGCCTGTCAGAAGGCCCCTGGAAAGTTCTACCCTGCGCTCTGGCTGCAGTGAGGGTCAGGGAAAGGACAAGCTGCAGGGTCCTGTCACAGCCAGCAGGACAGGTGGGGTCTGCTGGGAGCACGTCCCCACCCTTAGGACCTCTCCAAGCGTGCCCCTCCAGTGCCTGTGCCGTGTGCCGTGTCCGAGCATCCGAGCTGCATGTGTCACATGTGGTATCTGAGTGTCAGCTGTGTTTTCATGTGCGGTATCTGAGCTGCATGTGCACATGCGGTGTACGAATGTCCGAGCTGCATGTGCACATGCGGTATCTGAGTGTCCGAGCTGCGTATGCCACGTGCAGTATCGGAGCTGCGTGTACGCATGCGGTGTCCGAGCTGCGTGTGCAGTATCTGAGCTGCATGTGTACATGCGGTGTCCGAGCTGCATGTGCCGTGTGCAGTATCAGAGCTGCATGTGCATGTGCAGTGTCCGAGTGTCCGAGCTGCGTGTGCTGTGTGCAGTATCGGAGCTGTGTGTGCATGTGTGGTGTCTGAATGTCCAAGCTGTGTGTGCCGTGTGCAGTATCCGAGCTGCGTGTGCACGTGCAGTGTCTGAGCTGTGTGTGCCGTGTGCAGTATCTGAGCTGCATGTGCACGTGCGGTGTCCGAGCTGCGTGTGCACGTGCGGTGTCCGAGCTGCGTGTGCAGTATCTGAGCTGCATGTGTACATGCAGTGTCTGCGTGTCTGAGCTGCGTGTGCCGCCTGTGGAATTTCTGGTCCTGCCTGGCAGCCTCACCCTGCTGGAGAAGACCCTGGGCTCCACAGCAGTGGCCCCCAAGGACCTGAGTGTAGGCCATGCCCAGGTCACAGAGCAGGAAAGCGTATGGACCAAAGGGAGCCATTGAAGGGGTTCATGAAATCCCCAGAGCTGACACCCAGAAGGGAGGGTCCAGCCCGAGGAAGAGCACAGGCTGTGGAGGGCCGCCCATGTGTGTCTCACACCCACTTCACCTGCCGCAAGCCTGGCCGGGCAGCAGCCCTCCCCACACAAGGACAGTTCGAGAAGTACCAAGGCCAGTGGCCCACTTGCTCCTCTGCCAGCCCACTGCCTTCTATGTACAAGGCCCCAGGGGACAATCCTGGGTGTCACCAGGAGCCACCAGTTTAGGGGCACAGCTATGACCTGGTCTTACAGAGACCCTGGGGGGTGGAGCTCCCAACACCATGACCCCCTGCTGGGGCGGGCCTGCTGCTGCTGGGGAGCCCCGACCCTGCTCCCCTCTGCTCCTACTCATGGTGCTGACCACAAGGCCGCTGTTCCCGGAAATCTGACTTTAGTACTTTTTCTTTCTAAAACCAGGCTGCGACGGTTTCACATGGGACACCGTCCGTTAGCGGGGCGTGTCATGGACTCGACAGTCACAGGCTGTGTCTACACATACCCCCGCGCGTAGGTCCACGTCCAGAGGCAGACACCAGCATGGCTGTGTGTGTGTGAGGTGCCCGCCCTGGTCACTGGCAGCCTGTAGACCCAGGGTGTGTGAGGACGCAGCTGTGTTCCTCCTCCTGCTGCCCCGCTGCTCCTCCTGCAGCTCGGGGTGGCCGGCCCTGAGCCCCACTCCGCTGCGCCTCGCCTGCCCCTGCTGCACTGGGCACAGCCTTGGGTGCTGCCTGCATCGCAGGAGCTCCAGGCCGGGCTGGGCAGTTAGCTCCGTGGGTCCCCATTGCAGCACCCATCTGCCACCTCGGCCGCCATGGCCTCACACCCCCAGGACCCCCTGCGATGGTGAGGGCCCTCCGTGCTGAGCCCTCGCGGGGCTGCTGGGGACCACTGTGGGGCGGCTGATCTGCACAGCAGCAGCACAGCCCAGAGGGGCACAGCCAGCGGGGAGGGCAGAGGCGGGTGGCATGTGCTGACACACAGGGTGGTGTCTTCCAGTTTCCCGGCTGGAGGAGCGGGAATCGGAGATGAAAAAGGAGTACAACGCTCTGCACCAGCGACACACGGAGGTGAGTGCCCAGTGCAGGCCAGGGCAGGGTGCCCACGCAGCCACTCGTGCTCCGTTGCCGACCCCTGGCTGCCTTACCAGCATTTCCCTCTCGGGCGCGCTGCCTCGGTGGGCCTCGCGCTGGCCTCGGTCGTGCCGCACTCGCTGCTGTCTGCCCCAGCGTGTCTGCAAACGGCAGCGGGGGGCAGGGCAGGGCGCGGCAGCCGGTCCAACAGGGGCGGAGGCCGGGGCGGGGCGCCCCAGCCGCTCCAACAGGAGCCCTCTCCGCAGATGATCCAGACCTACGTGGAGCACATCGAGAGGTCCAAGCTGCAGCAGGTCGGGGGCAGCGGCCAGACGGAGAGCAGCCTGCCCGGGAGGAGGTACGGGCTGCGGGCGGGCGGAGAGGCCAGCAGGCGCCGGGCAAGCAGGGGTGTGGAGGTGGGCAGAGCCGCCCAGTCTGTGTGCAGGTGTGCCTTCTCGCCAAGACACATGAGACGCGTCAGTGTCGGGCAGGGTAGTGCCGCCGCAGTCACCCACAGAGCCTCGCGGTCCCGCCCTGCATGTTTCTCCTCTTGCAGGAACGAGTCCTGTTGAGTGAGTGAGTGAGTGCCGGAGGGCACGTGTGGTCACCAGCGAGTGCGAAAGCACCCCTTCCTTGCCCTCCGTATCCGTGCCCCACCAGAATCCTGGGCAAGCGCACGGGTGCTCAGTCTCCGAGCTCCAGGCCCAGATTTGAACCCCGCTCAGCCATGTGGGGTCTGACTTCCTCCACGGAGCACTTAGCCACTGCACTACAGGGCTGGCCCAACAAACACGTGGGGAAAACCTCTAAAACAGCAGCTCATTTCTTCCACGGGAGAGAGGCAGACATCCGCCTCAGGTCGTCACGCCACGGCCCCCCCGCCTCAGCGGCCCTGACCGCAGG